ATAGGTAAAAGAATGTTTTTTATCACATTATATTACATATTTTTGATTATTGACACCTATGTTATTTATTGTCATACCGTAATCTATTGACATATTGTCGACTTTAGTTAATAAAATTCTTCGTAGACCTCGGAATATGTTGGTAAGGCAAGACAGCGTTGCATTCTTCACATTGGCGCTGCGTCACTCGATCTATCATACTTTCACGTCAATATTGTATTCAAATAAACAGCAATAACTTCTCTCTAATTTTAAGGGGGAGGTAGCGAGACTAATCCGCGGCATAAATATCACAGTGCGCATTACAGGAGAACTGTGTAAATTAACGAATATAATGTTGGGACAAAATTGCGTTCATACAGTGAAGGTTACGTTGTGACACTTCTATAGAAGACAAGTTAATTCTCAATTTGATACAGCGATGCGGCCAGGTGTGCGCTATTTTGCAAACAGATTAAAAGTTTCAATAACGGGGGGACGGTGGTGTTGCAAATCATTGCAGCTTAACTTTTTATCCTATATTTTTTCCATAAAGAAGATTCTTCTTTTTTTCGTTAATTTTTTGTTACTCGATTTTTCTTCTTTTTTCACTGTGATATAACCAGGCTTTTTACTTGAAAAGATTCGAAAAACATTATATAAACATATACATGATACCTGTGGATCGAATATGTATTACGTCCTTATTTGAATGATTATGATTTATGAACATGATTTGACGCGTTTCAAAACAAGATAGTTCTATTGAATAAAACTTATATGATGTAATAAATAGATGGATTATATTCTAAATAGTTTATATATTTTTTATAAATATCAATCGCTTCCTTAAATTAGATTTTAAATTGTACTGGCTTATATTAAGTATTCATTGTATATAAAAATCCTACATGCGGCCATTAACAATATATAATATTATATCAAAATATTTTGATATGAGCGAAATGAGATCAAAGTAAGTCTCAGAAACAAATAAATTTTTAACTCTATAGAAAGGGCAAAAATGTATTTTATAATGTTTAAATAATAGTTTTAGAGAATGTGAAGACGATTTTTACCTGAAGAAAGTAGCGATAAATCTAAAAATATTTTTCATAAAAGTAGCAAAATGTAAACAAAGTAGTATTTTGACAACCATACAAAATACTTATTCACTATAACTTTACTTATTTCTAAAGAGCAGATGGTCCAGGTAATTGGTCAATGAGAAACTTTTGGATGAAATGAAGTACAACAAAATTATAAAGCTTGAAAATAAAAAAGCATTGGACTTTTTACCTATAATAAAAAGATTTTATACAATATCGTTTTATCTTAGCTGTGATATAAACATTGCCTTCGATTCGAATACATTTTATTCAGATGGCACGAATAGGAGTACTATTCTTGTTTGACTGATTACGTGACCATATTCCGTTTCGACTAGCTGATTATGAGATGAAAATACAAGATGAATATAGATCGAAATCAACTATGTAAATTTTTAAGAATGTTCTTAATCCCCTTAACAAGAATTAAATAATAAATAAGTTATTGCTACACAAAACGATGTACCAGTGTCCTTTGTTAAAATCATATAAAATCTAGTGACTCTTTAAAGACATTTTAGAACTGCATGTAAGATTACTGGTATAATCTTATTTTTCGTTTTCTTTTGCTAATATGAAAGCATATTCTCAGTGTAAGTATACCTTAAATGTAAATACCTGGGTTGTATCTTCACAAACAATTTGACTTGGCACAAATGGCCCTTATACACCTATTTTATTACTTTAATGACGTGATAACTCACTGACAAGAATGCAAACAAAGCAAAAAGGATTAACTAAATTAGAACTCTAAAACAAATATCTATTGATAAATTATCTAAAAACGTTTCCTTTCTAACATATTCTTTTCAACAGATCTATCAATTCTTACATTTCTTTACAAGTCTAGACAAATGTTATACCTCAGTAACATATCGTTTAGTCTAGAATTGCTACACAATCCGATATAGTACAATTTATTTGAAATTATTGCTAAAAAATTAAACAAATTCTCTGTAATTTAGCTATATTTCGAGTACTTTATTGCAACTCTCATTGACAAATACCTAGCTAAAATTTACGCATTCACCACCAACCGCGATGGTATAGTTTAGAATTAATGAGCAACATAGAATAGGACCAGGTGTGAAAGATAACCCGTTTTGTAAATACTTTTGTTCCGTAAGTGTGATCCAGTGATTTACGAGCTATCTGATGTGTAAATCACGCGATTTACATGCTTATACCCCTTTGAGAGCCGCTATATAAACATTTGTGATATGAACATTATTGGACTAGCGAACATTAAACTCTATCATTTCTGTTTGGTCTTTATTGAACAGCGCACTGTTGTATCTATTGATTCATACTCTTATATTTAAGTCTATTACCTGTCAAATTAAACTGAACAAACATAATAGATGTAAAATTTCTTAACAATATTTGGACATCTGAGCTGACAAAATCCACATATTTCGATAAATAGACAGTGATTTGATTATATTGAAGCATCGAAGGACCTCTTGAATTTATAACTTTTAAATTGGCGGTCAATCGCTTTATGGGAGTGTTCTTTTCAATATACTGACCCATCCAGACTTCTATGCATTTTCAAGCGTTATTCTCTCGTTAAATAAAATGCTATACATGTATATATCGCTCAAATATGCAATGCTAATCTTTTAAAGAATTTTCTAATTTTAATATACCACGTGTTCTTTAAGATTAAAAAATATGAAACAGCATATTGGTGAATATAATTATGTTTGCAGAAAACTTCTTGGGTTGCAGGCATGTTTGTTTAGTATTTTATTCTCTGCAGTGACACTTGAATTTTACTAGTGTCTGTTCTTTTTGCCTCGTCGAGTTTTGAAACGCCTTTTCAAAGTAACTCAATTGGATCTGAAGATTTTAATCAGGCTGAAGAATCTGGGCAATTGTCCGGTATAATTATTGAAAGAGACATTGCTTTCTCATAGTGATCCGAACAAAAGGATGGACTTAAAAGGTGATGTATGTCAATGGGTGTTGGGCACCTGGTGAAGTTCTTACATGTGAGTTTGCTTTATAGAAATATGTAAGGATGTTTTGTTTCATTCGCCATTTCTTATATATTTCAGATTTTTAAGTTGTTTATGCTCTCGCTGGCATCACTAGTGTGATCAGGGGATGGAGAAAGGTTACAGAGGGTGAAGGAATAAAAGCAGAAACTTTGCCTTGAAAATAACATTATCATTCTTGGTAGATATTGTATGGTAATGGCGTTCTTTCCGGAATAAAAGCGCAGTTCAAGAAAAGAAATCACGAGGGAAAAAAAACATGAACATATTTTAAATCAAAATAAGTCATATTTGAAATCAACATTACTTTTAAGAAATTAAACTGAAATAGAGCAAGATTAATTGCATTAATGGTAAAATATGTGCTCAACATTTTATGTCCGTAATTTACTTAGTAAAAGGAAAACTTGAGCATGTCTGTAAATATGCAAACTATAGTATCATATACCGGTAGCTTCTTAAAAACGTTCTTTTTTCACAATGCTTTGGTTTTAGACAAAAAGTGGTAATAGTGTTACATGTAAAATACGTTTTTCAGACAATAACTCAATTAATTGATTTGGTTGGGTTTTAATGTATTCTGTCACACATATTCAGACATATTGTAACATGTCCTCCTTAATGTAGAAAAGGAAATCAGTAACCTCATGAGCATGAACGGCTGCTGTCAGGACAATCGATGTTCTATAAGCTAGCTTGATAATTCCTCAAATGGAATAAGTTCTTTGCTGGATCTGAACACACCTAAACGCAGGGCAAGTTTTCGTGAACAAGAATTTACTTTAGGATAAAACAAGGCATATGTGCTAAAGTTGTTTTCAGTATATCTTTTGTAATTGACTACATGCCAGAAACTTAAACGAATAAATTTAATTTGATGAATAGGTATAAAGATAAAAATGATGAGATTTGGTATGGTTAATGATTCAATAAATGTTTATATACATTTGCAAGATGCTCAATCATTGAGTGGAATAAAATGTTTGATAAATTTGATCGATTAGAAGATAGAACATTATGGATGTATTCAACATTAAATCAAGTGCATTTTTTCTTGTTTTTTCAAGATGGCTTTCTCGCACAATGTTCTTCATAAACCCATCAACTTCTTCAGAAGCAACTTGGAACGCTTTTACTTCTATTTAAAGAAAGAATTGATCAAATAATGACAAAATATACTGCTCGTTCAATGTTTAAAGTAAACTTAATCATTCTCTTGTGTAAATATTTCCATATTTTAATGAACACAAATATAAATGGAAATTAAGAAGGCCCTACATTTTCAACATTAGACTGAAATGTGTAAGATCAATTTTTCGTACCATCTATGAACATTTGTGACATAATATCAGGAAGTCTGATTGCAGACGGAATGACGTAATACTTGTTCAACTTGATTGTATTTATTTATTTTGTGAATATGTTCAAATTTAAAAATTAGGCCACATAGCACGTAATCATTAACTTGGCAATGTCTAAAATGTAGACAAACCCTTCAGAATTCATGTATTAAATCTCAGTTTGCTGGTAGTTCATCATGAATTCTGTGATTTATCACACTAAAAATGTTTGCAAACCTTCTACAGGGCGTATGCCACCAAAAGTTGAGGAGAAATGAAAGGGTTTTTTTCCAGCAAAATATCAAAACAACATAAATGGAAGTCGTAAAATGCGGGTTCTTTATTTACTTTCACCGAGTTTAGCAGATCTGAAATGTATTGCGATGCGAATATCATTTTCTTCCTTATATTGAAATTCTAAAACATTGTATCACATTTTTAAAGTGTGTATCTGATAATTAAAAAAAAAAAAACATATTTTGAATTGTTCATAAAATGTTTTGGTGTTATCTCTTGACTATTTCTGTGACCTTTATTTTGGATTAGTAATTATGATAACACGAAAGACTTACCATCAGGGAAAACTGTCCTCATTTTAAGATAACTTGTAGACAGTCTGATTATTGAAGCTTTGTCCAGCTGACTAGTTATGGCGGTTGGTAAGGGCAGCATTTTCGCCAGTTCATAAAACTCCGCATTTTCTTTCTCTCGCCGTGTACGTGCGGCGTTCTTTGATTTATCCTTCATTTTATATAAGTTCCGCCTGTAAATTAAAAACAATACTCAATTCAGTTAAATAAATCATTCCTGTGATATATTTGAAATAAAGCATATTCAACCATAAATATAGTTGAAAGTTTTGCTGAAAATATTTGATATAGATTTTACTCATATGGTCATTGAATTTTTACTATAACATAAATTAATTTTGAACATAATGCCATAACTTGAATAGATAATAAATTGATATTTTTCGTTTTATTTTATTAGATCTATAAGATATACTGGATAATAGAAATGTTCTCTAAATTATCATCTCCTTTTTAACAACTTCATAATATGATTAAAGCAAGTATTTTAAATGTCTAAACTTTCACATAAGTAACTGTTATTTTCAGACTTGTTGAATTTATTTACTAGCCTAGTTTCTCTAAGAAAATATATGTATCTTTTGATCCAGTTATTTTATGTAAATCGTTTCGAAAATTATATGTGCTATATGTTGTACTTTTTAGAAGCATCTATGTAACTTATATTCTAAATTTAATGATTGTTTGTTTGTTTTTCTTTTAAATAGAGGTATATAAATGATTCACTGTTAAAAGTACTTGCCACAAATGCTTTATATTTTGTGTTTAGGTGTGTATAAAATTTTATTTACATATACATTAATAAGTCAATTTATATGCCTTTTTAATAAATATATATATATAGAAATCTTAAATTTCAAAAAATTGTTTTGATGGACTTAACAAACAAGTGACTCTGACATTATTTCAACAATGCACCCAGATATTGCGGTTAAAATATAGATACTTCTAACTCTAACTAATACATATATACATTACCTGATTCCACAATGAAATAGAAAAAGGCAAAGCTAACCGAGTATCTTAAAATCGTTACAATTTTTATTATTTTCCGAGGCAGTTTAATTAAAATTTGAGTGCCATTAACGATACAATTTCCCGTTTCACAATGATATGAGCCGCGTCATGGCAAAACCAAAGTAATGCGTTTGCGACCAGCATGGATCCAGACCAGCCTGCGCATCCGCGCAGTCTGATCAGGATCCATGCTGTTCGCTTACAAACCCTATAACAAGTAGAGAAATTGATAGAGAACAACATGGATCCTGATCAGACTGCGCGGATGCGCAGGCTGGTCTGGATCCATGCTGGTCGCAAACGCATTACGTTGGTTTTGTCATGACGCGGCTCATAATTATATAGGTTATACATGTGTTTACCAACATCATTTTGATGGAATAAAATTTTATCTGGAACATGATAACTAATAAAGTATGTCCCAAGTTTTATACAACAATTTACAATTAAATGCTTCCAGCCATAAAATGACATCTTTTTATTGTCTTTTTTATTTAAAAAAAAACGAGAATAGGCAAAACCGACTGATGTAATGTCAGAGCTCTTCCAGTATTACTCCCCCCAAAACTACTAATTACATTGCACATAATTCAAACTTCCGGCGCTAATCAGTTTACTGCTTATCACTTCTCGTCATTTAGATTACAGAACGTGTTTTTCCCGGTCTTTATAGAATCTTTAACTATTAATGAAAACACGATGATTCGCACTTACCATTAATCAAATTTTCATCAAAATTCCCTCAATTTATCACGTTCAATTATGACCTTTTTGCTCCTCTAGTTAATTCTTATCTTTGACTCTTATCACGAGAAATAAACGGTCCATCTGTGATTAGGAACAAATTTCCTATATTCTATAATCTTTGTAATTAGAAGTTAATTGATAACAAACGCATAACAGTCGTTATTGGCGATGTCAACTCGTCACAATTATTATCATCAAACGTTAGTTACTACTTGAAAAATACAGTGTACAAAATGTTTTTTTTTTTATTTTCAGAATAAATATTAAAACCAGATCTGAATTCAGTTTATTCTTAAACTTAAGAAATTATGATTGATATTGTTAAACACACTAGTTTAAAGAAACTCCACTGAAGTCCAAAAGGATAGAAACATAAATTTTAAAAATTCTTGCATAGATCAAATGGGCAATTAAAACGAAAAAACATATGATAAATTATGAGTCATTGTGCACAAGTAAAATCATTGTTCTGGAGAAAATGAATGAGCGAGTAATCTAAAATTTTGCACATAAATGATTCGCCCCAACCTACACAAAATGGTGTACAAATATAAAAAAGAGCTGGCCCGACATGTCAAAAAAAAACTAAGTGAAATCCCTTTAAAAAATATTAATGCTTAAAAAATATTCCAATTCAAATTATGTTCACTGATAACATTCAAAAAGACTTGCATGCTTTAATAGATTGAAATCTTTATAAAAGATAGTTCTATTATTTTATTTATCTAAAGACACTCTTTATTGCCCGATACCACTTTTTCGAGTTAGATTTATTAATTAATTATCCAATACTTTGCAGGAACTGAATATCAACTTCATATAAATTTGACAATAATATAAGTATCCATAAAACATACCATTTACAATTACATCAAACTCTTCTGTTAGATAAACATCAGAACGGTTGCTTTAGTTTTATTTACTGACTAAGAAAAATGAATCATACAATTTCAATGCTAATTGCAAATTCGTTCTGGGTGCGTTACTTCTACATTACTATGTAACTAATCAAAAATTAGTCATCATAATGATCAGTTTGAAAATAAATACATTATTTTATTTGCCTTAACTTGAAACCAAAGTTAATTTCTTAACTTGGCATACCATTTCATAATAGATTATAGTTTATAAATGCAAAATATATACGATATTTTCAGTAATTTTCATACACTATAATGCGTGCATATTCGATGCAATGTTTTGCAACAAACATAAAAATTTCGAATGTAGTGTTTTTATGCATTATTGTCTTGTTTAATTTGCTATTTGTTATATTTAATATTTGTATTTTTCATAACTTTTTTCACCCCACCGTTCATCTTTTTTCAGTCATCTTATACACCGTTTACTATCACTAGCAGTTAGCCGTATTTTCCATTAACTGATATTCCTTTTTTTTCATTTTTGAGTTTGTCAGATTGCTATGATTTAAATATTTTAGGACATATAAATTAAAGCATTGAAAACGGTACCAAATTCAGAGGAGGCAAAACTATTCTACATAACTCATCTTTTATCATTGTTATCTATTCTATACGAAAATATCATTGTGAAACGTACTCAAATGTTATACATATTTATTTGATAACAATTAATCTCAAACCCCGGGGTCAGCCAGAACGTTCTTTTCTCACGTCGTATCTATGGCAATGGAATTTTTACTGACCGTAACGACCCCTACCGATGTGTCGTAATTAAAATCTGAAAATTGAGCCGACTGACCTCACGTATGAGGACAGTGTTAGATTTGATTTGAGTATTTTCCTAGAATGCCATTTATCAGGAGATTTTAATTAATATTTGATAAGCCCTTATGTAACCTCCTTTAAAGTGGTTCTACATCTTCACATTCACATTGAACTTTATATTTCATTTGTTTCACATTTTGAGCGTTGTACATTGAACTTTATATTTCATTTGTTTCACATTTTATTTTTAGCGTTGTACATTAAACTTTATATTTCATTTGTTTCACATTTTGAGCGTTGTACATTGAACTTTATATTTCATTTGTTTCACATTTTATTTTTAGCGTTGTACATTAAACTTTATATTTCATTTGTTTCACATTTTGAGCGTTGTACATTGAACTTTATATTTCATTTGTTTCACATTTTATTTTTAGCGTTGTACATTGAACTCTATATTTCATTTGTTTCACATTTTGAGCGTTGTACAATGAACTTTATATTTCATTTGTTTCACATTTCATTTTGAGCGTTGTACATTGAAATTTATATTTCATTTGTTTCACATTTCATTTTTAGCGTTGTACAATGAACTCCATATTTCATTTTATTTCATATTTTGAGAGTTGTAACATTGAACTCTATATTTCATTTTATTTCATATTTTGAGAGTTGTAATATTGAACTTTATATTTCATTTTATTTCATATTTTTAGCGTTGCACATTCAACTTTATTTATTTCATTTGTTTCAAATTTAAGAGTTGTACCATTGAACTTTATACAATCGTGTATAATTCATTTGTTTCAAGTATAAGCGTTGCAACATTAAACTTTACATTTCATTTGTTTCACATGTATAAGCGTTGCAAAAATTTGAACTTAATATTCGTTTCACCTGGGACAAAAATGTTTTTGTTTTTTTTTGTCTCAGATTTCACATTTTAATTGTTGTAACATTGAATTCTATATTTCCATTTGTTCCACATTCTTACGCGTTTAAGCATTGAACTTCATATAAATTTCTAACATATTTCAAGCGGTGTACATTGAACTTTATAATTTCATTTGCTTACCATTTAACCTATATATTTTTCCCATTTTAAGCGTTCTATCAATGAGCTTTTATGTTTTCACATTTTAAGCATTGTACCATTGAACTTAAATGTTTACGTGTTTCGCGTTTAAAGCGTTGTACCATTGGACCTAAATGTTCACGTGTTCTACATTTTAAGCGTTTTACCGTTGACTTAAATGTTCACGTGTTTCACATTTTAAGCGTTGTGACCACACGTGGCAAAAACAACCGATATATAAATATAATTTTGATAGTGGATTTTTTTTATAATTTTATTGGTGGTTTTGTATTTGGTATGTTATAGTAAGCCTTAGAGTGTTGAATTATTATTTTTTCAGGGTTGCAGCAGGGTCAAGGGGCAGATAGGGGAGGGGTGTCCAAACACTGATACTGCCACCTGTGGTTGTGACTGTTAACTTATATTTTCATTTGTTTCTCTTTTTTCTTTAGAGTTGTTGCATTTTTTGTTATTTTGGATTAATGACATATATGCTTTCCTTATTTTAGGTTTATTTGTGTATAAATGAGTATCAGTGAAATTCGTTTATTGTTTGTTTTATCCAAGTGAGTATGTTTTTATTTGTTTGTTTTGTGTGTTTTCTTTTCTCATTTTATGCCAATCACGATATTATATTTTGTAATGT